AAATGAACTTCATTTATTTATCTATTTATATTACGTTCAAACGCAGAAAAAGAGAGGTCTTCCATCTGTTGGTTCATTCCACAAATGTCTAGGAACAAAGCCAGATGCCAAGCACCCCACTTACACTTACACCTTTCAGGTCAATGTCAGGGACTTGAGTGCTTGAGCCCTCACTCACTGTCGCCCAGGACAGACATCAGCAGGAAGCTTGACTGGAAGCAAAGTACATACAACTCGAACCAGGCACTCTGAGATGGCTACAGGTGTCCCAAGCAGAGACTTAAGCTGCTGTGCCAAACACTAAGCTCAGATTTACTTTAACTACATTTTCCAGTAGCTTTTGGAAATATCCTTGTACACCCAAGGATTCTCAAGAGGGGTGGGAGAGACACACAGTGTTACTATCTGGAGAGGTACAGCTCTCAGAACACATGGCCACACCCACTGCCAGACCCTGAAACACTCAATCCGATTTGAAAGTGAAGGAGCCTAGAATTTACACAGAAATCTATGCAGAAATGCAATCAACAGGTAAATCACAACTGAGATTTCACTTAACAATCCTGCTGTGGGTATAAAGGCGGACAGGGTGGGAAGGTACAGTAACCCAGGTCATAAAAAATTCTAAAGCTTACAATTTTTTTCAGTGAAGCAGGAATCAAGACCTCAGCTCACACTAATGATGCAAGATGAGACATACTGGAAAGTCTGAGGCTAAAGAAAGATACAAAATAGCTGTTTAAGAGACAGAGCAACTGAACTAATACAGTGCAATGGTCAGCATGAAGGGCTGACTTCAAGCTCAAGAGTTTAAAACAAAGATTGTTACAGAGGTTTTGTGTTTTATCTTCGTCAGTTCAACTTCTGTTGTATTGGTGCAGCTATGGGACAGGCAGAGTGAAATCGGTGTTGCATTTTTTTTTTAAGATTTATTTTTATTATTTTTTTACTGGAAAGGCAGATATACAGAGAGGAGAGACAGAGAGGAAGATCTTCCGTCCGATGATTCACTCCCCAAGTGAGCTCAACGGCCCATGCTATGCCGATCCGAAGCCAGGAGCCTCTTCCGGGTCTCCCACGCGGGTGCAGGGTCCCAAAGCGTTGGGCCGTCCTCGACTGCTTTCCCGGGCCACAGGCAGGGAGCAGGAAGGGAAGCGGGGCTGCCGGGATTAGAACCGGCGCCCATATGGGATCCCGGGCATGCAAGGCGAGGACTTAACCACTTGCGCCACCGCGCTGGGCCCAATCAGTGTTGCATTTTATCAAATGAAAGCATGAGTAAAAGGGAGGAGAATTAAGAATGAACATAAAGGGCAGGGGGTTGCTACACAAGTGGATGTCCTAGAATGCTTGCATGCGGGTCAGAGTGCCTGGGTGAGAGTTCCTGCTCCGCTTCACACCCAGCTTCCTGCCCACGTGCACTCACAGCTTACGGCTCTAGCACGGGCTCCCTGCCGCTGAGGTGGGAGGCCCACAAGAAGCTCAGGCTCCTGGCTTCAGCCTGGCCTAACTCCAGCTGCTGCAGGCCTCTGGGGAGTCCATCAGCAGGCAGAACATCTCTTGCTCTCCCCGTCACTGTGCCTTTCAAATAAGTTTAAAAAACAAAAACAAAAAGAAACCTCTGAAAAGAATGGAATGAATGCAAGGGGTGATTAATGATAACTGCTCAATCAAGAGGGACTGGGGTTTCAAAAGCTTGATGAAATGGATGTCACACGGGGTAGTCGAGCTCTTCATTACGTCTGTGCATCAGAGACAAGGTTCAGAATTGAGCGTTCCAGAACATGCCAATCAACAACGGTAACACGGCATGTAAAGTCTAGCTGGTTGACACTCGTGCACCTGTAGGAGTCTTTACTGGCCACAGCGGCATTCTCAGCAAAACGTGCTGGCACAGGAATGCGACTTTCCTTACATTTTGGGAGGAGGGGGAAGGGGAGGGTAGTCAGGCTGATACATTTGTAAGAGGAAATATATCTTCTTTCACGTAAATTATGTGTAATTTTCCTCTATGACATAATTGGGACATTATGGAGATTCTGTTTAAATGATGCGTATTGGGCATTACCCATACATTTTACTTCAGGATTGCGGCGAGGACACTGAATCTGAAGGGAGACTCAGGTGGCCTGGACAAATTCTCACGCATACACACAGGGTGACACTGGCAAGGGCAAAGTCAAAGGCAGACAGCTCAAAACAGCCTGGGAATTCAGCCCACACGTTCAGCAAAAGGAACAGGTAAGACCTACCCATAAGTGCATTCACGCACTATTTACACACTATTGTTCTGTAACTATCACTTTAGCATCCAAATTAATTTCTGGCAAACTAAAATATGCTGCATTTTAAGAAACTGATAGCTTAGGGAAAATCTAACTGAGGTAACATCATTATTGGAGCATCTAAGGAAATGTGATACTGGAACTCAAGACTTGAAATCCTAGCACATGACTTAGTCCAGCACCACACAGCTGTAAATACTGATGGTTTTAGAGTCAACTTAACTCTCATGCTGTAGATGAAACTTAAATGTTAGTAATCGTCAAAGTGTACTGAAGTACAAGCAGAGCTGACAAACAGCAGCGTACTGAAGAAGCTCATCAAAGTAGATGGGATCAGTGTGAAAATGCTCATCTCCAGTGGCTCAAGTTACAACTCACTGCCAAGTCGGACTGGAAAGCAACATACTGGTCACGGCTCCTTTTCTACAAGAGAAAAGTAACAGTACCAACATCCTAAGATGCCTTAAAGATCTCCTGAGATGATGCAAAGGCCAACACTTGAGACACCGCCGGGTGACACTAAGGCCTCTTCAAGGGGATCACACGTGACAGCATCGTACTTGGGAAATAGTCTGTGTGTCACGCCTCTAAATAAAATAAGAAATTAGAGGACCGCTAAAACGGCACCACTGTCCTTAGCAAAAATCAAGTTAACAGGAGACAACTATTACATGCCTATTCACATACATATATATATATTCTTGAATTTTTAAAAATGTATTTATTTGAGAGGAGGAGCAAGAGCGAGAGAGAGAAACAGAGCTGCTGCCTTTTCCTGCTGCCCCGCATGCCTAACCGCACCAGTACCCGGGCATGCGGGGCAGCCATGGATGTCATCCCAGGGCCCCCCATGCGGAGCATGCTCTGAGGCTTCTGTTCAAGTGGTTTTGACAGTTCTAAGATGCTGCTCATTTCACTGCTCCAACGATGGGGAATCCTTGCAAGGTCCACTGGCTGACATAGTCCACCCTCAAGTCTCCACTCACCCTCACACTCGCTGGCAAAGCTGGGCCAGGAAGAGTTGTCCACTTGGCTAAGCCATCCATGTCAGTAGACTAATCTCTACAACAGCAAGGATCTCACTCTGCGAACTCCACTGAGGAGTTCAGTGACCAACCATTCACAACTCTAACCTACATATCTGTGCCCAACACTCTGTGAGCCCCTTCACCGTTTTCAGCTTTTTTTCTCTCAACCATCCAGAACCAGAAACCTTTTGAGCTTTAACATGATATCCAAAAGTGCATCTCTGGACACTGGGAAAATGTACAGGAAGTGTGTGGAGAAGGTGATGGGCGCCGAACAGTAATGGCACCGCACTACCAGTTAAAAACCAACCCAGCATGGAGTGGAACGGAACGCTGTGGACTCACACAGGCTCAGCATGTTTCATCAGCGCGCTGCTCCTTCGCACCACTGGGGGCACCTTTGGGTGTCAAACAGCCCTGTGGTCAGTGTGGAACTTAGTGGTACATCAGCCTGCCCTTGGAAGGGGAGTAACCCCGCCCAGAGCTGACCTGCTGCAACGCCCTCTCCCATCACACACAATCCACTTTGATCAGATCCACACCCATCTTACAAAATCAGCCACTGTAGCCTATTTCTCCCAATACAACAAAAATTCCCCCACATGTAATATTTTAAACTCCCCAAACGTTCACAAACAATAATAATAAAGGGATCACGTAAGGGAGGTTGGCTGATTCTCAAACTGGTCACTACCCTTCTAAAAGTCCTAACCTTCCCAAAACTCATTTCACCGTTACATACACAAAATTATGGAGTTTGCTTTTTCTCCCTTACACAGATGGAGAAAAAAAAAAATGTTTGCAAAGCACAGCCTGAGTTCTAAAGAGATGCTACTAAGAAAAATTACTTCATCCCCCCCCCCCCCAGGAGGTTGCGGCTAATATTTTAAAGCAACACTGCCCCCAGAAGTCTGGAGGGAAAAGTAAGTGCCACTGGCCGACATGCTAATTACACAATAGTCGGCTGGCTACCCCTACAACCTGCCTACTGCTAACTTTTCAGAAACACCCCTCCCTCCTGATGCTTCATCCTTTTTTTTTTTTTTCGGTTTCGATTTGACCCGAGCGAAGCGTGCTAAGTACAAGGTTTTAAATCCAAGTCAAGTCCTCAACGGCGGCAAAACGAAAGGACACTCAAGTCTGAGCGTTTCTTTCCGGCGACAAGAAACAAAAAGCCAAAGAAGACAGGCCACGGGGGCTGGGGGGTGGGGTGGGGGGCGCGGCATCTTCTCAGCTCCAATGATGGACGCAGTCGGGCATCGAGCCCCACCACCAATGCTTGGGACGGTGGACTGCAAATCTCCAGATAAAACAATCAAGAAAAAAAAAAAAGTGGGAGGGAACAAGCATAACATAGAAGCTAGCTTAAGCAGAATTAATATAAAAATGAAGAGGTGAATTGGACATCTCTCTTCAACTTGAAATCCTCCTCCTCCTCCTGGGGGAGTGTTTACACAGGTGCGGACAAACGTTCCACTCTGTCCTCGCCTCGAGTTATCAAGGAGCCACAAACACTGGGTTCCCGGCGCGCCAAGCAACACCGCAACGCGTCGCCCGATCGCGGGACGTGCCTCCAGCCCCGGGGGGTGGGGTGGAGGTCGGTCCTCGGGGCGCGCTCCGGGGGAGACCCCCGTGGACCCCACTCCACCCCAGCCCGAGCCCTCCGGCCCGGATCGCCTCTTCTCACCTGGTAGTTGCTCGAGCCCACCCAGCCCGTGAGCGCGTCCAGAGTCTTGGCCAGGCGGTTCTGGTCCTCTTCCAGGTCCGGGATGGCTCCCGGGGCGCCGAGGTAGAGCAGCAGCTCCTGGCCGACCTGCAGCCGGCCGCCGACGTCCTTCTGCAACACCTGAGCGCTGAAGTACTCCATGCCGCGGGGCTCCATGGCTGCGGCCACCCCCGCCCGGCAGCCCGCGGCTCCCGGGGGCCAACTCGCGCCGAGCGCGCCGCCCAGCCGCCGCCAGTGCGGGCGTCCGGGCGGGGAAGCCGGCGGGCACCCCCCGGGCGAGGTGCGGCTCGCGAGGCTCGGCGGCCGGCGGGAGCAGAGCCAAGCTACCCGGCGGACCCCAAACTAGTCAAACTCGGCGCCCCCCGAGCCCCAGTCCGCTTCAGAGGCCGCGGCCGCGGCGACGTCAGCACGCGCGTGACGTCAGCGCGACGCCGGAGAGCCGCCCTCCCCGGGCCGGCCGTGTTGGCTCGCGTCTCGCGGCGAACGCGGCGGCGGCGGCGGCGACTTGGCGGAACCGCTGAGGGCGACGGGACGGCGGGGCGAGCTGGGGTTCGAGCTGGCCGGCCCTTGAACCCCGGGCGCCTTCGCCGCGCCCTGCCTTTTCCTTGTCAGATACAGAAGGCTTCCAAAGTTGTCTGCTGCTTGAGTACTTGGGAAAGTTTCCGGGACTTGGAAAGCACCCCTCTCCACTGCCAATGCCTTTTAAAAATTAAAAAATTTAATATTTTCCCTCATGGAAAACACCATGTGCCTTGCTTCCGGGCCCCGCCACAGTTACTCGGTACCCTTTCTTTACAGACTGAGAGAGTTAATTTGCAGGGAGGATGAAAGACAAGTTTCCCAGTGTACACTCCCCGAATATTTCGGCAAATACGTAAACTCGACCCTGAGCCTCCCTCCCCGTCATCCAACACCTCTTCCGCAGGCAGCGACCTTGATGTCTGTGGCAGGAGGGTAGTTCTCCCTGTCTGGCTGCTTGGTCCTTCAGTGTACCGTGTTAGGATCCCTTGAGCCCTCTGTGGTCCCCGGAGTGTCGGATGTTGCTGGATACTGATGCTTGCTGATAGCTTCACTCACCTGTTGATGCGCATTTTAGGAGTGGGGGGGGGGCGGGGGAAGGGAGTGGCAGATTTCTGAAGATTATAAATAAAGCTGCCTTGAGAGTAAGTGGACACATCACATTTTGATTTCTCTTGAGTGAATACCAACACCTGGCTGGATCCTTAAATTTCTCTCCACCGAGGCTGAGGAGTCCAGTTGCTGTGCAGCTTTTGCAGTATTGGGTGTACCTTTGCTCATGCTAGCAGGGGTAGAAGGTACTGTAATACATTCTAAAAGCACCAGCCTGTTATTTCCAACAACATTGAAAAAGCAGCCCTGTCGGGTCAGCCTCCATCTCCTCTGGTACCCCCAAATCCAGAAATATTTGTGCTTTCCCTAAGGTGGTACCTGGCAAAAGATGTGTGCTTGACCCATCTAAACTGAATGAGTAAATGAATTCAATAATAGCAATGATAATATCAATAGACTCCCCTCATTCACCCACTTGGCAGCAGTCTGTGTTAGGTTTTTCACTGTCTCTTGAGTTTCACGGTGTGCTGTCAAGTTTCCTCCCTCTTTGATCAATTCTACTTTTCCTGAGCCTGTTCCTCAACCAAGCACAGCAGAGTGCTAGGGTTTGCATGTCCTGCTGGGCCAAGGGGATTCTGAGAGAGGTGACAAAACACGTCATTTCTGGAGATTGGCGTTTGAATGGATGGGGCGAGTACAGCGCACACAGTCCCCACGGTCTAGCCACCAAGGACTGAACGCAGTGCGGAGGAAGAGGACTTGGATCTGCTTTCTTGGGCTGACATGCTTTTCCCACCCAGGCTAACTAGGAGTCCGTCACACCAGCAGCTCTCTCACTTCCCCAGCTTGTGTGTAAGGCACTCTTCGCCTCCTTAGATGTGCGAGCAAATCCGCTCACCAATCTTTGACTTCTGCTGTCAACCTACAAGGAAAAAAAAAATTCAGAGATTCCCCAAAGAATGATGCTGCTAATTTGGAAATTATACAGTGTTGAGAAGCCCCATGTTAGAGTAAACTATAGGCAAAAGCCAAAGAAGTAGAGGCAAGGGGAAATGTTTGAAGTCATCTCTAGCGCAGTGACTGACGTCACAGGGTGACGTCATTCTGAGACAGAGCCGACGAAAGTGGCTGGGCGACCGTCCTTGTGGAAGTGCTGCTGGTTCAAGGTTGCGCTGGCCTCTGTGCGAGCTTGTGGTTCTGGCAAGCTTTTATGACAGTTACTGTCAGGAAATGAACCATAAGCCTCCCTTGTTCATGACACCTGGCTGGATTTATTTTCTGTTAGGGTTTTACTAAGAACCTACGGCTTCTATACACTTTGGTAAGGATTCCTCAGATGGCTGCAATAACTGACACTGAGCCAGGAGCTTCTATCAGATCTCCCGCATGGATGCAGGGACCCAAATCTTCCACTGCTTTCCCAGGTGCATTAGCAGGGAGCTCGGTTAGAAGTGGAACAGCTGGGACTCAAACTGGTAATCGTACTGGATGCCAGCACAGCCTACCGACTGTGGCTTCACTCGCAATACTTCAGCAACGGCCCCATCCATTTGCCTTTCTAAACTTAGGAAACTTAAGAATCGCAAGAGATTATTTTTTGTTGTTGTTAGTCATCTAAATCACCTCGAAGTTATAAATACAGTTGTGTGTGAGTAACCCAGGAGCATCTGCAAAATTGTTGGTAAACACTAGTTTACTAGTAAACACACGTTCGTGACTTCTCTGTGTTTCATTAATCCATCAGTAATAAATCTCTTCTGAGCACCTGTAAATTGCTAAATATTACACCAAGTTCCATAAATCCAAACCTCAATTTCACCTAGTCTTTGACCACACAAGCTCAAATAGCACTAGGAATATCGGCACTTCTGAGATGCTATAATGTTCTAAGAAGATGGGTTTTGGAATTACAGATAAGGGGTTCCTTATCTCGAGGGCAGCGAGTATGAAGGCAGGAGAGCTACGAAGGAGGGCAGGCTTTCTGGAGGAAGTTATACTTAAATTGAGCTTTGAGGATAAGTAGGAATTAACTAAAGAAGTGGTTTCCTGATGTCTAGCAAGTTTAGCTACAAGATGTAGACCTAATTATTTGACTCAGCATTTTCTATGATCATTACACACTGACTACAAAATCTTCAAAATCCCATCACTGCTGTCTTAGAGTAAACGTTGTTACAGCAGAAAGTTAACAACTTTCTGGCTCTTGGCACTGTTAGTGTCTTAGCCATTTGTTTTTTCACAGCACCGTAATGTGATCAAGAGTGTAACATTTAGGACAAAGTGGAGCACAAGAACTGGGGGCAGCTGCTATGAAACAATTTATTCCCTTGACCTTTTTTTCCCCCCCAAAGTTAAGGTTTTAACAGACCAGTGCAGTAACTCAGCAGGCTAATCCTCTACCTGCAAGCACCAGCATCCCAGATGGATGCTGAATCTAGCTGTTCCACTTCTCATCCAGCTCTCTGCTTATGGACTGGGGAAGCAGAGGGTGGGCTCAAGTCCTTGGACCTCTATATCCAAGTGGGAGAACTGCAGGAAGCTCCTGGCTACAGATGGGCTCAGTTCCTGTCATTACAGCCATTTGAAAAATGAACCAGTAGGCAGGAGATTCATTCTCTCTCTCTCTCTCTCCCTAAATTTATCTTCAGATAAAAATAAATAAATAAAAACAAAAGAGAGACCAGTTTGATTCAATTTTTTAAATTAATTAATTAATTTGAGAGACAAAGACAGAGCTTCCATCCTCTGGTTTACTCCCTAGTACCCATAAGAGTTGGGGCTGCAGCAAGGCCAAAGCTGGGAACCAGGAACACAACCCAGGCCTCTAATATGGGTGGCAGGAACCTGATCACTGGAGCTTTTACCCACTGCCCTCCATGCTCTGCCCACAGCAAGAAAACCAAAGGCAGCAGCTGCAAGTTGAGCCGTAGCACTCTGATATGGGAGCTGGGCTTTTTATGAATTAGACCAAATTTCAGCCCTAAAAGACCATGTACAGAGGTGAATATTGCAAGCAGGAGGGACCCTCATGCGCCCCCCTTTTCTATATTCTTGCCACCTCCCTAGCCCCAGCTGGGAAAGCTCTAGGCAAGCTGCTCTTCAGAGAGGCAGCTTCCTTAGGAATCTCTAACTCCCCAGAAGTAGCAATTGCTGCGTAAGGCTGTTGACAACTCAAATAAACTGTCCCCTGTGTCTGCTGACACCTGCACCGGAAGAAATACCTCAATAATTTTCAAGCAACTAAATGAGTATCTGTGTCCTACCATCAAGTCGCTGTAAGAGAAAAATAGTAGACATTAACTTAAAAAGAAAAATGTTTGTGTCATTGTCCAATAACCACACTTATGAATCAGTTGTCTGCAAGGGTTGGTTGCTGCCCAATTCCACAAAGCTTGAGTGACGAATACCACTGCTTTCATTTTGTTGCCTGCTGCGTTTCAGATGGTACTTGTAAAGATTTATTTTTATCATTTTTTATTGGAAAGGCGGATATACAGAGAGGAGAGACAGAGAGAAAGATCTTCCGTCCGATGATTCACTCCCCAAGTGAGCGCAACGGGCCGATACTATGCCAATCCGAAGCCAGGAGCCTCTTCCGGGTCTCCCAAGCGGGTGCAGGGTCCCAAAGCTTTGGGCGGTCCTCAACTGCTTTCCCAGGCCACAGGCAGGGAGCTGGAAGGGAAGCGGGGCTGCCGGGATTAGAACCAGCGCCCATATGGGATCCCGGGCGTGCTAGGCGAGGACCTTAACCACTTGCGCCACCGCGCCGGGCCCGGTTTTTTTTTTTTTAAGATTTATTTATTTACTGGAAAGTCAGATATACAGATAGGATAAGAGACAGAGAGGAAGATCTTCCATCCGATGATTCACTCTCCAAGTGAGCGCAACAGCCAGTGCTATGCATATCCGAAGCCAGGAGCCAGGAACTTCTTCCGGCTATCCCACACAGGTGCAGGGTCCCAAGGCTTTGGGCAGTCCTCAACTGCTTTCCCAGGACACAAGCAGGGAGCTGGATGGGAAGTGGAGCAGCTGGGATTAGAACCGGCGCCATATGGGATCCTGGCGCATTCAAGGCAAGGACATTAGCCACTAGGCCACACCACCGGGCCCGGTGCTTGTTTTTGATCTGCAACCATAGAAAACAGGTTTGCAAGCCTATATCAGCAATGTGGCACACTCCAGTGTTGATGCTGTGGACTCCTGGGACTTCCAGGTCTGTCATGTTTTCCTTCACATTTTAAAATATTCTCAGGGGTCCTTAGTGCATCTGCTGCCATGCTCTGCAGTTTGATAATTTTGGCAGCTTGATGGCTTGAGCTTGCCCAAGTTATCACAAAGACACGGG